CACACATACCTGGACTTATTCTATACTAATATATTTTACTGATTCCATTTCAGTGTCATGATTTTAACTTTTACCTTGTTAGAATTTGTGACTCCTTTTTAACATCCATTCTACCTTAAGATACAGAAAGCTCTGGTGGCAAAGTCAGTGGGAAGGTGAGCTACTAACCCAAAGGCCATTCCTCTCTGCTGGGTCAAATCCACCAGCTGCTGCCTGTGATTTGCAGCCTCAGAAATCTAACAGGGAGGGTCAGCTATGGTCAGTTCCAATTCATTACATTTTTAAGGTACATTTTTTTTTAAAAAAATGAAATCAGAAAAACTGAGTTTAATAGGTCGGTTGTTGGTGTTGTTGTGTACCATTGAGTCAGAACTAACACTAAAAGCTGTCACTCCAGTGGCTTTTCAGAGGCAGCTGATTACACAGAGGAAGCTGTGTGGCCTTCTGGAAGGCACATAGTTTGAATCCACAAATTATTTTCTTTCTGACATAAAGCAAACAGCCAAACTGGAAAAATTACTTACTACCTGTATCACTAAGGCTTTTTAGTAAAGTTTTATAACTTTATTTCATTGGCTTTATGACAGTTTTTTAGGTACTAATAATATTTTTCCTCTGTTTCCAAGGTCTAAGTTTTATTACAGCAGGTTGAAGTAGTTTTAATTGTAGCAAATGGAGAAGTGAGAGGAGTGTAGCCATGGTGGCCTAGTGGGTAAGGACTTGTGCTGCCAACTCAAAGACAAGCAGTTCAAATCCACTAGCTGCTCTAAGGGAGAAAGATAGTAATTCTCCTCTCATGTGATTAATAGCTTCTGAAAACTCCCCTAGAGGGTCAGTTATGAGCTGGTTCTGACTCAATATCACGGGATAAGAGTAATAACAACTACTTTAATACCAGAAGCTGAAAAGGAAATGCTTACTTTTTATTTTATTTTATTTTATTTTAATGAACATTTACAGAGATTTTGGATTTTCATTCATTCATTGTTGTTCTTTTTCTTTACCCCCCTTCCCCCAGTTCGCTCCTCTCTTTGAAAAGCAAAAGATAAACTTCTTCGTTGGTATACAAGCCCCCTGCCCCCGACCCTGCCCCCAGCACTCCAAATGCAGTCCACTATGCAACCTTAATTCTGGATTCCTGTGATAATCATAATACCCTACCATATATCACTTTTAAACTGTTCTCTCCCTCATCTGATTCAATTCAGTATACATAATCTATCCAGTTTTTCTCAGTCTTACCCCAACCCTGATGTCAGTCACTTTTTACAACTGTGGCACCATACAGTATTTGTCCTTTTGTGACTGAGATATTTTACTTTTAATTCTTTGCTATAAGATCAAATTGTTATTTAAACTGAAGGCAGTACATAATAATGGCTCACCCCCATCCTTTGTTTACTTGTCCGCAGGTCAACTACAGGCCCCCCTCTAAAATGGGAATAGCCATTCCACTCTCAGACAATATCTACCACGCAGACCCCAGCAAACCTAGACCAAGAAACCTATTTCACAAGTCGATGGTAAATCACTTTTCTTTTTCCTACAAAAAAAAGGTAGTAGTACTCTGAATTTAAAAAAAAAAATATCATGCAGTAGAATAATGTATGGACTAATGAACTAATTATATATGAACTTATGAACTATATATATGGACTAATTATATATGGACTAATGAACACGACAGTGTGGTGTTCATGGGGTCACTCTGAGCTGTAGTCAACTTGACAGCATCTAATGGTCGCTGTGGCTTCTGTGCTGCTACTTAGCCCCCTCCCTTCGTACATCAGGGAGCTCTGGTGGCTTAGTGGTAAGGAGTTGCACTGTCAACCCAAAGGCACACGGTTCAAACTCACCTGCTGCTCTGTGGCAGAAAGATGAGCAATCTGCCCCCATGTGATTTATAACTTCTGAAAAACCACTGTGTGGGCCAGCCGGGAGTTTGTTCAACTCGACTGTACACAAAAAAACGTCTTCTATTGCAAGTTCTGGTGGCACTGTGGTAAATCTTTTGGATACTAACCAAAAGATTGAGAGGACCAAACCCATTAGCCACTCTGTGGGGGGAGAGAGGTATAAAGAGGGTTCCCATGAAGAGTAGCCACCCTGGAAACCCCTGGCGGTTGTCCCACACAAAGGAACCACTCATGCAACAGCAGTGCATTTTGTCTGATTTGCTCTTAGCACCACCGCTGCACAGAGCGAGGGAGCCACGAAGTCTACGTGGATTCTGTCCCTTTCCAATCTCTCTGGTTGCCACTGGGATTTCAAATGAGATTGTTGGAGTGAGGCCATCCTTTCTCAAATGACAGGACTCCCTAGACCCAACCCTTGGGGCCAACTTTGTGAAAGGAATGGTGGTCCAAAAGAAGAGGGGTGTGCTTCAACACCCCATCCTTGGCCATCAGCTTGACTCCAGCGCTTTGCTACCTGACATCTAATTTCCAAGGACACATGTCTTCATGGGAGGAGACTGCCCATCTTATTCCTGATGGATTCAAACCATGGCCTTATCAATTAGTAGCCTGATGCACTACATACTGCACCAGGAGGGTTCTTTTGCAGCATGCGCGCGCACGCAAACACACACACACACACACACACACACACACACTTAATATTCTACTGATTGTGCTCATGCTAAACCTATACTTGAACCAGGAAGCAGTAATGAGAACAGAACAGGGAAACACTGCATGGTTCAGGATCCGGGAAGGAGTGCATCAGGGATGCAGCCTGTCTCGACACCTTTATAATCTATTTGCAGGACTGATGATTCAGTAGGAGGAACTTTATGAGGAGGAATGTAGCATCAAGACTGAAGGAAGACTCATCAGCAACCTGCATTATAGAAAATGATGCAACCTTGCTTGCTGAAACTGAAGAGGACATGAGGTATTTGCTGCAGACGGTAAACTATAATTTTGAATGTGGATTGAAATTCAACATCAAGACAACAAAGATTCTCACCCTGGGCCAATTAGCAGCTTCATGATGGACAGAGAAGAGAGTGAGATTGTGGATAACTTCAACTTGCTTGGTTCTACAATCAACACTCTTGGCACCAGCAGTCAGGAAATCAAAAGATGAATTACATTGGCAACATCTGCTGTAAAGGACCTCTCTAGAGTACTGAAGAGCAATGATGTAACTCTAGAGACCAAGGTATGCCTGATCTAGGCCATAGTCTTTGCCATTACTTGCTGTGCATCCTAGAGCTGGACAATAACTCATGATGATAGAAGAAGCATCAATGCTTTGAGTTGTGGTGCTAGAGAAGAGTGTTGAACCATAGACCTCCAGGAGAACTAACAGCTCTGTCCTGGAGAGGGTGAAACTGGGCTGCTCCCTGGAGGCAAGGATTTTTTAAACTCCATCTAACATACTTTGGGCACAGGGCCAGGAGGGACCAGTCTTTGGACAGGGACATCAGGTTCAGAAGGGTAGAGGGACAGTGCTGGAGAGGAAGACCCAGGTTGAGCTGGATCAATTCAGTGACTGGAGAAATGGGATTAGACCTGTCGAAGATGAGGACATTAGCTCAGGATAGCGTAGGTTTCAGAGCTTATGTGCATAGGGACGCTAAGAGTTGCAGGAGACGCAATGGCACATAACAACAAGTTTCTGTCCAGGAAAGAGAGAAGCTTCAGGAGCACCAGGCCTCTTAGGGGCAGAGTGAGCACAGAGGAACCATTTGAGTCAGAATACAAGCTCACTAAGGCAGCACCATGATGGATGGAAAAGGAAGTGAGGTTTTTGCCAGTTACAGCTTGCTCGGATCCACAGTCAACATTCTTGGCACCAGAAATCAGGAAATCAATAGACTAATGCTATTAAGTAAATCTGCTGTCAGAGACCTTTCCAGAGTACTGAGAAGCAGTAATGTCAAACTAGGAACTAAGGTGTGCATGGTCCAGGCCATGGTCTTCACAATTACTTGCTACAGAGAGCTGGACAATGACTAAGGATGACAGAAGAAGAATAGATGTCTCTGAGTTGTGGTGTTAGAGGAGACTCTTGGATATACATGGACCACCAAGAAAACAAATAGGTCTGTCTTGGAGAGAGTGAAACTAAGTTTCTCCTTGGAGGCTAGGATTTTGAAGCTCTGTCTCACATATTTTCGGTATGTGATGAGGAGGGACCAGTCCTTGCAGAAGGACATCATGCTCAGAAGTTTGGAGGGACAGTGCAGGAGAGTAAGACCTGGATGAAACGTATTGATACGGTAACTGGGGCAATCGGGGTAGGTGAGTCGGAGTCAGTGAAACTGTCTGAGGACAGGGCTTCAGAGCTGTTGTTCATAGAATTGCTATGAGTCACAGGCAACTCGATGGTACATAACAACAACATGGGTGAACTTCTCAAGGAAGCTGCATAGACGCCTGAGGAAACTCTCCAGAAAAAAATATACCTCCTTGACCGTAATGCACATACCCTCACTGCCACTGAGTCAGAACCAACTCCAGCTGACTCTCCAGCAGGTTCTGAGAGGCTATAAATCCCACCAGAAGAGATTGTTCATCTTCATCCCTCAGAGCCACTGGTGGGTTTGAAGTGCCTGAGAGATGCCTTCTTTGGACTACACCATCAGAGTTAGTGGAGAGCCACATATGAACGGGCTTTTACATACAGCCATACACACATGCACACGGTGTGAAATTGTCTTTACAAATAAATATCCACCGTCTTGCCATTCCATTCTGAGTACGAATCAGATTTTCACCAGGATTTGTAAGGGGCTCCATGCTCTGGCCTGGAAATGAATGACCCCTGGCCCAATTCCCCTCTGCTCAATCTGCCCTGGCCATGCTGGCTTCCTTCTGTCCTTCCAATATGCCCGGGCATGCTCCCACCTCAGGCCCTCTGTAGGCAAACCGTGCCTCTGATGGATGATCCTCCAGTAGACGGGCTGATGCAGTGACCACAGCAATGGGCTTCAGCCAGCAGGGGTTGTGAGGACCGTGCAGGACCAGGCAGCTTCTCATGCACCATGCACCTGCTCGCTGTGAGTCACCAGTGACTCGATGGCACGTAACAGCAATTCCCTCTCTCTGAAATGTTCTTCTGCCAGGCTTGTCCCTCGTGGCTTACACTGTCACCACCTTCTGCTTTTGCTAAAATGTCACTAACTCAGAAAGACCTTCTCCGATGGCTCTACTTAAAACTGTCACCCCATTTCCACTGGCCCCCACTTCCTTTCCCCTCCTTTGCCCTATTTTTCTCCTTAGCATCTATTACAATTTTTCATTTTTCACTTACTTTATGTCCCTATAATGGGTAAGCTATACAAGAGAGAAGGGTTTTGTCGTTTTATTGCTTTGCTTTTGAACACTTTATTGTGATTCAGAGGAAAGTCTGCAGAACAAATTAGCTTCCTATTTGACGATTTATATACCTTTGCTTCCATGACTCCTCAATGTAGCAGCACTTATCCTTATTCCTCCCTGGATCCCCCATTTCCCTTCGTCCTTTTGTTCCCCTCCCCCTTCCTAACTCCTGAAGTTTGCTTTTTTGAGCAAAGGCTTCCCTTTTGTTCTCATAAATGGATTGTTCTAAGCAATGGATTCCTCCTACATCCTGTGTGTGTTCATTTTATAGACCTGTCTGTGGCTTGGCTGAACGGTGATCCCGAGGAGTGGGCTCTCAGTTCCAGGTTTGAGGGGTATCTAAGGGCCACCATCTCTGGGGTTCCACTGCTCTATTAGACCAGGAAGTTTGGTCTTTTTTTATAATTATAAACTTTGTTCTACATTTCCCACCTAGTCTAGTCAGAAAGGGCAGAGTTTTGGTTTATTGTTGTAACAATTTTTTTTAAATAATTCAAGACTCACAGACAAGTTGTTAAAATAACATAGAGTTACCCTGAATACCTTTCATCTACATAAAAACACGTTAAAAAAAAACCGAACACTCAAACTCATTGACATCAAGTCAAAACCAACCTGTCACTGACACTCCAGTTTATTTCCAGAGGCAATAAATGACGAGGAAGGAAACTGCCCATCTTTCTCCTGCAGAGCAGCTCATGGGCTCAAACCACCTGCCTTTGGGTTGTCAGTGTAACTCCTTTCCCACTGGGCCACCAGAGCTCCCTGCCTTTCGCATTATGAAACCATATGTATATAGTGCATTTTGTCATAAACATATAGTGCAACTGTCAAAGCCAGGAAATTCATATTGATTTGATTCTAGTAACTAAAGTATAGCCTCATTCATATTTTGCCATTCTTAGTCTTTTTTATTTTTCCTTTGCTGGTTGAGAATCTAATATATCATCCCATACTCCAAAAAGTTGTTATGTCTTCTTGGTCATCTCGAATCCATGATAGTTTTTTAGTCCTTTTATGACTTTGACAATTTTGAAGGTTATTTATTTGCCAGTTATTTTGTCATTGAACTTCATTGATAGAAACAATATATCCTTCTCAGCATGTGTTGTAAGGGGTACATGATGGTAAGTCCCATTGCTCTGATGGTCAAGTCCCATTACTCTGACAGTCTTCTTGATACTTGGTTAAAAGGCTGCCTGGTGAGTTTCTCTGCAACTGAGTTACTGTATCTTCCCCTTCCCAAAGAATAAATATTTGACAGAGATAAACTGTGAGAACGATATTCTACTCTTGACTGTCAACTGTATGGATTCCATTTGCAGGAAACTGGTCAATTCAAGCAATGTGCTAATGCTTCCTCTCGGAAGGCGTGTAATTGCATGCCGGATCAGAAGCTTTCACATGCGGAGGCTTTCTCAGATTGCAGAGAAAAAGTAAGTTCGCTTCGAGTTACCAAAAGATATGGCGCTTCCATAATAAAGTAATCCGATGGTCAAATGGGCTTTTTGGTTACATATTAGACATTAATATGTCCTAGAAACAATGTCATATAAGATCATGTTGTTGTTACATGTCATCCAGTTGCCTGTGACTCATGGTGACCCTAGGTAAAATAGCTCTGAACCCTGTCCTGAGCCACTCTCACTGACTCTGACACACCTACCCCTGCTACCCCAGTTACTGTGTCACTCCAACTCATCCGGAGTCTTCCACTCCTGTGCTGACCCTCCACCCTTCCAAGTATGATGTCCTTCTCCAAGGACTGATCCCTCCTGGCCATATGCCCAAAGCATGTAAGATGGAGCTTCAAAATCCTTGCCTCCAAGAAGAAATCTGGTTTCACCCTCTCTAAGACACACCTATTTGTTCTCTTGGCGGTCCATGTTTCAGTGCTCCTCTCCAGCACCACAACTCAAAGGCATTGATTCTTCTCCTGTCATCCTTAGTCATTGTCCAGCTCTCTGATGAATAGAAAGTAATTGTGAAGACCAGGGCCTTGATCAGGTGCACCTTAGTCCCTAGACTGACATCATTGCTCTTCAATACTATGGAGAGATCTTTGACAGCAAACTTCCCCAATGCAATTCATCTTTTAATTTCCTGACTGCTGGTGCCAAGAGGCTTGATTGTGAAGTCAAGCAAAATGTAAAATTGTTAACAACCTCAACCTCCACCTGTCAATTGTCCCAGTGGTGAGAATCTCTGTTTTCTTTATGTTGAGCCTCAATCCATATTGAAGACTGCAGTCCTTGACATTCTGCAGCTTCAAGTCCTCCTCAGTTTCAGAAAGCAAAGTTGTGTCATCTGCATAACATAGATTGTTGACTCAGTCTTCCGCCAATCCTCCTCATAAAGCCCAGCCTCCCAAATGATCTGTTCTACGTACAGATTGAAAAGATACGGAGATATTATGGCATAGAGTTTAAAAAGCTCTAGATTTTAAGTGTTTCCAAAAAGTCAATGAACTTCATCTGGAAAGTGAAATCCTAATAATTGTTGTTAGGTGCTACTGAGTACAACTCATAACAACCCTATGAACAAAAGATCTGAAACCAATCCTTGTCCTGTGCCATCCTCACATTTCCTGACACAAAAGAGCCCATTGCAGCAGTCACCGTGTCAGTCCACCTGGTTGAGGGTCTTCCTCTCCTTTGCCGACCCTCCACCCTTTCCAACATCATGTCCCTTTCCAAAGAATAGCACATCCTAGTAATTATGTCCAAAGTATGTGAAGTGACACCTCATTATTATTGCCTCCGAAGACTCTGGTGCACCCTCTCCAGGACGTATCTGTTCATCCATGGGATGTTCATTGCTCTTCAACACCACAGCTCAAAAGCGTCAAAACTAACCATCTAAGCTTTCAGAGGCAGTAAATCCCACGGGAGAAGATGGCCCATCTCAAGGAGCAACTGGTGGATTCAAACCACATTCCTTTGAGTTGGTAGTGCAGCTCCTTACCATTAAGCCACCAGAGCTGGATAACAGTAATTCATTTTAAAAAGTATTAAGTAGCTAAATGTATCAGGTTCCGGGAGTACAAGAGTCAAATTATTTGCTATCAAAGAGTTATTTTGTAGTGATCATAAATAAAGTGTACTATATTGGGTTCTGTGTCAAATGCTGTTTCATTCTGTTAGCATCAAAGCATCCGTATGTGAAATAGTATGTATTGATGCTTGCAATAACAATATTGAGTGTGCAATTGGTTTCACTTTCAAACCGACTTATTTTCATGGTCCTTGAAACAATACACATAGTGTAAAAACTGCAAATGCTAAATTCTTGGGTAAGGCAGAAACCTATCAAAGAGGGGAAATGCAGTTATTTTTTCCAATAGGAAAATTCTATTTTTCTAATAACAATAGGAAAGTGGTGGTAATACTGCAACCTGTCAAAGGTGGAAAATTTGCAAGACCTAGAAAACAAAGCAGTCTGAAAAATTCCACTTCTCACAAGCACCACTGTAACTATTCCTCAATATATCTCATAGAATTTTGAAGACTATGCATGTTGTTCTTGTTGTTGTTGTTGTCATTGTTGGGCACCCCAGTTCAACTACCAACCATGCAAAGCAAACTATGAACAACAAATCAAAACCGGGCCCTCTCCTGGTCCGTCATCCCTCTCCGTACTATGCTCTCAAGCCCATTATTGCAGTGGCTGTGTCGATCAATCTCACTGATAGTCTGCCTTCCTTTTTCAGACCTTCTGCTTTTCCCAGCACAATGTCTTTTTCTAAGGCCTGGTGTCTCCTGAAAACAAACCCAAAGTATGTGAGACAAAATTTCATCCTCCTTGCCTGTAAGGAGCACCTCAATTGCACTTTCTCCAAAATAGACTTGTTTGTTCTTTTGGCAGTCCATGAGATATTTAGTACTCATCATTAACACTAACATTCAAAGGCATTCTTCTTAGGTCTTCCTTATTCACTGTCTGACTTTCACATGGAAGTATAAAATATAGCAATGACATTAGAGATAGATCAGTAAACCCTAACATATCTTCAGTCAGACACACTCTACTCTTTAAACTGATAGATGAAGTCTTTGATCTTCTTCAGAACATCCTGAGTCTAACAATCAAGGTTGTGTCATATGCATGATATAGATTGTTGATGAGTCTTCTCCCAATCTTTATGCTACATTCTGTTCATTTAATTGAGCTTCTCAAATTATTTGCTCAGCATATATGTTGAGCACGTATGGAGAAAGGTGATGCATAATTTTTCTGATTTTAAACCATGCAGTATCCCATGTGCTGTTCAGAAAAATGGCTTCTTGGTCTATGTACAGGTTTCACATGAGTAAAATTAACTGTTCTGGAATTCCCATTTTCTCAATATTTTCCATAATTCGTTATGATCTATGTGGTCAGATGCCTTCCTGTGGTCAATAAAATACAAGTAAGCATCTTTCTATTATTCTCTGCTTTCAGCCAGGATCCATCTGACATCAGTAACGAGCTCCTTTATTCTGCATTCTCTTCTGAACCCAGCTTGAATTTCTGACAGTGCACAGTTGACGTATTGTTCCAGCCATTTTTTAATAATCTTCAGCAAGATTTTAGCAACTTTGATATTAGCAACTTTGTTCCATATTTTAATTGGAGCAAATATGGATCTGTCCCAGTCATTTGGCCAAGAAGTTGTCTTCCCTATTTCTTGGTAGACACTAGTAAGCAGGTCCAGGCTTCCTCTGATTGCTGAAACATCTCGATCAGTTTTCCATCAATATCTGGGGCCTATTTTTTGCCTTTAGTGCAGCTTAGAATTCTTCCTTCAGAACCTCTTGTTCTTGATCACATGCTGCTCCCAAAAATGGTTTGGCATTGACCAATTCTTTTTGGCATAGTGACTATCTGTATTCCTTCCATCTTTTGAAGCTTCCTGAATCATTGAATATTTCCTTCACAGAATCCTTCAATATTACAACTCAAGGCTTACATTCGTTCTGCTATCCTTTCTGCTTGAAAAATGCTAACTGTATTCTTCCCTTTTGGTTTTCTAACTTTAGGTTTGCACAGTTTGTTATAATAATTTGCTTTGTCTTCTTGAGCTGTCCTTTGAAATCTTCTGTCCAGCTCTGTGATGTCATTATTATTCTCCTTCATTTTCCTGTTCTACATTCAAAAGGAAGTTTCAAAGTCTCTCCAGGCATCCATTTTGGTCTTTTCTTCTTTCCTGTCTTTGTTTTTGTTTTTTTTAATTTTTTTAAATTTTTAAATGTTTTTTAATTTTTTTTTTTTAATTTTTCTTTTTTTATTACTTTTTTTATTTTTTTTAAATGTGTGTACTGTCAAATCAGATCTGACTGATACAGGAGGAGATTGTCCCTCCTTCAGCAGAGCATGTGGTGGATTCTTTCCTGTCTTTGTAATGACTTTTTATTTCCTTCATAGATGGTGCTCCTGATGTCATTCTGTAAGTCATCGGATCTTCAGTCGTCCATGTTAATGCTAACCTCTTGTTATTGACTGCGGTCAAGTCAAGCACAACTCATAGTGACCCTATAAGCAAAAGACCTGAAGCCTTTCTATAACTATAGTCATTTCTCAAAGTTCATAGAGTTTCCAGAGGCATGTTGTTTAGAAAGTGGATGCCACTCCTACTTCCAAATCCTATTCTTGAATTTTTTTTTATTTCAGGTGGGAAAACTGAAGGTTATGTTTTGGTTTTTATAAACTTGTTTTAACTTTACCCATTCAATTTTAATTTGTTATGTTGTTGTTAAGTGCCATTGAGTCATTGACGACTCATAACAACCCTATGAATGAAAGACCTGAACACATGTATAACCTTCATTGCTTCTCATTGGAAGTTCATAGAATTTCCAAAGGTAAGCTATTTCGGAAGATGGATGCCACTCCTGCCTGTTTGAATCTGGGAGCGCCACCAAATACTATCCACCATGGGTAACCATTATTGCATTTGACACATCAGTGTCACAGTGTTTAGCATCACAACAATTCTGAGTTACCTCTGTACAACAAATTGACAGACCAGTGATATACCACTTAGAAGAATTTTTGACAAAAACAACTAAAAACAGGCCTGAGGGCCACAGACCCAATGGCCACAATGCCTTTTTAAACGTGAGGCCAAATCCAATCAGCTCACACCCAATTGTGAGCAAACATTTTACAGCCAAGCCTCAACAAAAACCAGAAAACACACCTTTGTAGAATCCAGATTTTCCACACACAATTGCTGACCTGTTCCACAGTCAACCTTTTGCCTTGTTTTGACTGATATTCAACTTCCCCACCATCTCTTTCTACAGATATAGTCAATCTATTTCCTCAACATTCCATCAGATGAGAGCCATTTATGTAGCCATAATTTATGGGGGGTGGGGGGGTGTTAAGTATTTGCAATGAGTAAATCATTAATGGTAAAACATTTTTTTCTATTATTTTATGTGTGTATAACCATCAAACTGGATCCACCTGGTACAGAAGGAGATTGTCCCTCCTTCTCCAGCAGAGCATCTGGTGGATTTGTATGATACAAAATTATATCATGCAATCTCCAGTCTCCTAACTAACAAAAAAGCTATATTTTTCAAGTACCAGTCCTTCTTTGTTTGCAATTTTGCATTCCAGTCACCAATTACTATTAATGCATCTTGACTGCATGTTTTATCTACTTCAGACTGCAAAAGTCAATCGGAAACCTTGCTTTCTTTATCTTTGTTTTAACAATTGGTGCAAAAATTTGAATAATAGTTGTATTAACAAATATTTCTTATATGGATAGTATCCTATCAAGCATTATACTTCAAGATAGTTCTTGAAATGGTTTTTTGATAGAGTGTTTCACCATTCCTCTTCAACTGGTCATTTCTGACATAGTAGGTCATGTGATTGTCTGATTCAAAATGGCCAGTACCAGTCCATCTCAGCTCACTGATGCCTAAGACGTGGATCTTATGTGTTCCGTTTCAATTTTTTATTCAACTTCCAATACTTCATACATTCCACATTCCCATTATAAATGGATGTTTGTAGCTGGTTTTTCCCCCTTCATTTTCAGTCTTACACATTAGCAAATTAAAGCCCTTCACCAGGTGACGTTTCCACATCATTAAAGTAGACTCTGAGGAGGGAATTCTGGTGGCTTAGTGGTAAGGAATTGTTCTGCCAACCCAAAGCACGTGGTTTGAATACAATAACTGCTCATCAGGAGAAAGATTAGCAGTCACCTCCCATGCTATTTACTGCCTCTGAAGACCTCCTCTCCAGTAGGTCCGCTAAGAGTTGGTTCTGATTCAACAGTACCTAACAACTTCTCTTAAAGAGGCAGCTCGCTCTTACCCATCCCATTTTTTTTTTCAGTTAAAGAACCTCTATTAAGGGGCAAGAGGTGGGGAAAGGTGAGGGGGCAGTTGTAGAACCCAGCCCCACCAGGGGGAACAGGCCCCCCTCCCTACCCCCTGTCCCTCCCCCCAGTGCCCTTCACTGCACCATGGGGGGAACTTTGTGCAAACACTGCCCTGGGGTAGGGCTGTAGGGTGGACATGAAATGTCAGCAGCTGGGGCAGGCAGCGGTGCTACTGGGTGCTGGGGGGCTTGTACGGTTCTAGGAGGAGGGCGGAGAAAGTGTTGACCTTGTCTGCCCCCTGCACTTCATGGGGCAACAATGGCAGTTTCACGATGTGGAAATCTTCATAGAGGTCTTCCATCTGGTCCAGGTACTTGGCCTGGATCTTGTGGCGAGCCTCACACATCTTGCATGGCTTCTCAGGGTCGGGAAAGACAAGCTGGTTGACGATGATATTGTGTGTGTCGATCTTGCACTTGGCTAGCTCCTGAATCAGCCGCTCCGCCTCCTACAGGACCAGAAACCCTGTCATGCACTCGCAGATGAAGGTGGTCTGCTCGGGATCCTTGAACTGCTCGCTGACGGATCGGATGACGGGCACTGTCTCCTCCAGCTTGGAGCCGAGCTGGTCTGCGTTCACGTCACCCAGGCCCAGCATGTTGCACATCTGCGAGATGACGGGGCTGATCTGGTTCTTGATCCGCATGAGGCGGCCCAGGCCTCTCTCAACGATGGTGGGGAAGTTGAGCAGCCTCAGCGTGTGGCCCGTGGGTGCCGTGTCAAACACCACCACTGAGAAGTTCATGCCCTTCACCAGCCTCATGACCTCCGCGTAGCTCACGGCCTCGTCGATGCCCGGGAAGGCGCTCATGGCCTCCTGCATCATTTTCTTGCCCATGCTCAGCATGTTATCCTCCTCAAAGAACTCGTCGGGCAGCTCTGCCACGCCAAGGCTGGGGTCAATTTCCATGGCGAAGAGGTTGTCATAGCCTTTGACCTTGGTAGGCACCTTAGAGAACTTCTGGTCAAAAGCATCTGAGATGTTGTGGGCTGGGTCTGTGGAGATGATCAGAATACTTTCCCGGCCCTTGGACAGCTGGACTGCCAGGCTGCAGCTGCAGGCTATCTTACCCACGCCACCCTTGCCCCCGACGAAGATCCACCTGAGGCTGCTGCTCGATGAGGTTGCTGAGCGTGGGTTCCAGCGGTTCCACATCGGGTGCATCCTCGAACTCGTCTGCCTCAACCCCCCACCCAGCCACCCCTGCCGCCATCTTACCCTTCCCATTTTTAACTGTCTTCTAACCTGAGAGCATATACATGTTGTCGTTGATTGCTGTTGAGTACGACTCACAGCGACTCTATGAACGAAAGACCTAATGTCTTTCCATTATTGTTGTTGTTTCTCCAAGTTCATAGAGTTTCCATAGGCATGTGGATGCCACTCCTACACCCAGGAGCTCCACCAAACACTTTCCACATTGGAATCATTATGGTATTTGATACCCCAATGGCACAAGATTCCAGCACCACAGCAAACTTAGATTATCTCAGTATATAAAATTGACGAAGAATGATGTACAAAATAGAAGAATGTTCCTCCAAATATGACAACACTAGTCCCACTTAGCAGTGGTTAAGTGTCATCAAGTCGAATACAACTCATAGTGACCCTATGAACAAAAGACCTAAACTCTGTTCTCTAATAAACATCATTTCTGTATGATTATAGAGTTTATTATAATAAGTTTTATATAACTTTAGAGCTATATTCCTCCAAAATTACTTACTAACATGTCAGGCAGAGTTATCACTCAGTAAATTATGATCCTTTTTCTACACAGTGCATGTTGAATTATTAACCAAAAGAACAGTGGTTCAAATCCTCAGATGCTCTGAGAAAGATAGACAGCCTTCTCTGATTAAGATTTGTTACTGTTGTGAGATGTCATCAAGTCAACTCTGACTTATAGTGACCCAATGTACAGATTGAAATCCTACCAAGTCTCATAATCTGTGCTACACTTTGTCAATTTGACTTGTTAAGGGTCTTCCTCTTCTCCACTACAACCTCAGAAACCAGATAGAGGGTCACTATGAATCAAGATCGGCTAGACCACAAAGGATTTTTGGGTACATTGTACTCTACGCCTTCTTCATGATTTGTCTTATTTAATTCTAAGCACAGTAAGGCTTAGTGATTTACCAAGGACTAACAATGACTATGAAATCACTGACAACTTCAATCCATTCTCCATCTATCATGATACTGTCTGTTGGCCCTGTGGTGAAGACCTCTGTTTTCTTGATCTTGAGATTTCATTAATACTGAAGGCTGTACTTCTTGATCTTCTGCAGCAAATTTCAAGTTCTACTCACTTAGAGCAATCCAAGTTGTGTCATCTGCATAATGCAAGCTGTTGATGTGTCCTCCCCCGATGCTGATGCCACATTACTCTTCATGGAGTCATCAATGATTTTGTCTTGCTTGTGTCAACAGTCAACACCTTGGGGATCAGCAGTCAAGGTATCAGGAGTCATATTGCATTGGGCAAGTCTGCTGTCAGGAACCTCTCCAAAATATTAAAGAGTAATTACATCTGTTTGAGGTTTAAGGTATGCCTGATTCAAACCATGGTCTTTTCAATCATTTGCTATGCATCTGAGAGATGGACAATGACTAAGGATGTCAGAAGAAGAATTGATGCCTTTGAGTTATGGTGTTGGAGAAGAGCACTGATTACTCCATGGACTGCAAAAAGAACAAACAGATATGTCTTGGAGAAAGTGCAACCAGAGTGCTCCTTGGAGGCAAAGATGATGAAGCGTCATCTTGTATTTTGGACATACTGTCAAGTCAGAACTGACTCACTGTTGACTCTCCAGTGGGTTTTCAGAGCCAATAAATTGCATGGGAGGAGATTGTCGAACTTTCTCCCACAGAGCAGCTGATGCCTCCAGCTTGGCAGCACAGCTCTTTACCACTGGGCCACCAGGGTTCCCTTGAACATGTTGCTAGGAGAGGCTTTTCCTTGGAAAGGGACAACATGCTTAGAAAAATGGAGGGTCAGCAAAAGAAAGAAAGACCCCCAATGAGATGAACTGACACAGTAACTGCAGCAATGGGCTCAGGTGTATCAGAGAATAGAAGAACGGCACAGGATAGGACATGGTACAGGTCTGTTGTTTATAGAGTCGCTATGAATAATCCTCAACTCAACAGCATCTAACAACAACAATAATGTTATTAATTAATATGAGAGCTCTGACGGCTTAGTGGTAAGGAGCTGGCTGCCAAACAAAGGCACATAGTTTGAATCCACCAGTTGTTCCATGGAGAATGGGCAATCTCCCGCCATGCAATTAAGCAGCCTTTGAGGGTTTGCTATGTGTTGGTTCCAACTCTATCACCATCACAACATCAGTATGCTACTAATGTAGTAGAACTGGATTTAAACTCTGACTCTAGAGATTGAGTTGAAAGAGCATTGCTGGAACATTGTGACCAGCAGGTAGAGAGATGACAGAAGGAGATGAGCAGGGCCCAATTCATTCAGGACCTCATGTAACATGGAGTTTATTACACACACAAACGTTTCATTCCCTCGCAGCAAGTTCTTGTGCTCAATGCCAATAGTAAGCACAGGTTTGTTGCTACAATTTGTCGATAGAACCCAGAAAGCTATGCACAGTCTACCTCAATTTTGTTGTAATAAAGACTCATTCCGGGGAGCTCTGGTGGCCTAGTGGCAAGGAGCTGCAACTACAATCCCAGAGGCGCACAGTTCGAATCCACCAGATGCTCTGCCGGGGAAGGAGGGACAATCTCCTCCTGTACCAGTCAGATCTGATTTAATGGGGGAAAACAAAGACTCATTTCCCCACCAACTGCATGCCTTGAAAGGGCATAAATCCTAAGAGTTCTACTTCATTTTAAATATTCAGATTGTTAGGGATATATCTAGTCAACTCTTTACCAGGAAATAGAACTGGTACTAAAGATTCCAGCTTGGCATTCATTCTTGGAATTTGTATTTCAGGTTCCTCGTTTTGCATTTCCAGTTAAAAATTATCCAGTATCTTTGGAAATTATCACCAGAGAAGGACATATGCCGGTGCATCCTCCATATCTGGTTACTGTGACTGAAGTGAATGACAGGGATAATTGGTACCTGAGTAAGTTTTGCTCTCCTGCCTCTTTCATCTTTTATTCAAGTGATGTTGCTAGTTACCTCTGTCAGTACTTTACAAAGCCTGTTTATGTATTTCACAGCCAGGAGCACTTGGGAAAAGAATTGGAGTCAGTTAATGGGTTGCTGTTTTCTTTACTTCTGCTCTCTACCATTGATTTCATCATTCTTACCAGCCAGCAACTTGGATTCTGTAGCTAAAGAGCCTTTTTTTAAAAGTATTTGAAATACAAAAAAAGAAAAAGAAATTGAAAGCTGTTTTGTAGATAAATAGGAACAAGTAACTGGATTTATGCTATATGTTGGGCTAGTCTTTTTCTCTGCTCAAAGTTACAGAGGAATTTGTAAAATATGAAGGGATTAGCAGCTATTATCTAGGTTCTATCCTTTATTAATAGGGAATTAGATAGATTGAGATTGAGATAAGCAGGATCTGTCTTCTGTGTCTCAAACTCTTTAACATATTTGAAGAAATAAGAAGAAACTTTTCTTTATTGAGATTTTGGTGAAAGATCATAGAGAACTTGGATTTCCATTCATTCATTGTTGCACATTTTCCGCCCTGTCCACTCCTCCACCCCCTACCCCAGATTGCTTTTCTCTTTGAGAATAAAAAAAAAAAATTCATTGTTATGCAATTCCCCCCTCCCCGGCCCACTTTACCATGTAGCTCTTATTCTGGACTCTTGCCATGCAAATAATACCTAATCATATATCCATTTTAAACAGTTCTCTCCCTCATCTGTTTCAAAGTAGTGTACATTATTTATCCCTCTTTTCTTAGTTCCCCCCAAACCTGGTGTCAGTCCTGTTTTATAACAGTGGCATTGTGCAGTATTTGTCTTTTTGTAATTGAGATATTTCACTCAGCATAATGTCCTCCAGGGTCACCCATTTTTTACAATATTTCATGAGTACCTTGTTTTTCAATGCTGCATAGTATTCCATTGTTTGAATATACCACCAGGCAGAAACATTTTTAAATAAGAAAGAGAAAATGTATTGTTAATTTCATTTTACTGCTAATATACAACTTTTTCCTCACACACTGTGTTTCCTCATATATAAATACTGTTGTTATGTGCCATTGGGTCAACTACAACTCATGGCGACAATGGCTCCAAACCTTGCCCCGTCCTGAGCCAACCTCTCTGTCTCTGACACACATTGACTCCATTGCCACCACAGTCACTGTTTCAATCCATTGCATCAAGGGTCTTCCTCTCCTGCACTGACACTGTACCCTTCCAAGCTGATATCCTTATCCAAGGACTAGAGCCTCTTGTCCTAAGTGTGTGAGGTGGAGTTTCATCAGCCTTGCCTCCAAGGAGTAACCTGGTTTCACCTTCTTCAGACAGACTTATTTATTCTCTTGGACGTCCATGGTAAGTTCAGTACTCTTCTTAGCACCACAACACCACAACCCAAAAGCATTGATTCTTCATCTATCATCCTTAGTCACTGTCTAGCTCTTTAATGTACAGCAAGTAATTGTGAAGATGTGGTCATCTTAGTCTCTAGACTAACATCATTGCTCTTCAGTACTCTGGAGAGGTCCCTAACAGCAGACTTTTCCCAATACAATTAATCTTTTGATTTCCTAGCTGCTGGTACCAAGAGTGTTGATTGTGGAGGCAAGCAAGATCCATTATCATTATCCAAAAATCCAATTAATACCAAAGACAAGTAAGTTCCTGCTTAAAATGATCCACTATCAACTGGAACAGCACATCAGCAGAGAACTTCCAGATGTGCAGGCTGGGTTTAGAAGAGGATGTGGTACCAGAGCTATTACAGCCAATGTTAGATGGATCATAGCTGAAAGCAGGGAGAGTACCAGAGAAATGTCTATCTGTGTTTCATTGACTATGCAAAGGTATTGAACTGTGTTAATCACAACAAAATGTGGCTAATTCTGAGAAGAATGAGACTCCCACAACACTTGATTGTGCTTATGTGAAACCTATACTTGGACGAGGAGGCAGTCATCTGAACAGAGCAAGGAAACACTGTATGGTTCAAAATCAGGAAAGGTGTAGGTCAGAACTGCATCCTAGCTCCATACCTTTTCAATCTATATGCAGAATAGATCATCTGGGAGACTGGGCTGTCTGAGGAGGAATGTGGCATCAGGATTAGAGGAAGATTTATCAACAACTTGTGTTAAGCAGATGACACAACCTTGCTTCCCAAAAGTGAAGAGAACGCAAGGCATTTACTGCAGAAGGTCAAGGACTGCACCCTTCAACATGTATTGAAGCTCCACATCAAGAAAACAAAGATTCTTGAAGGGAGCTCTGGTGACCTAGTGGTAAGAAACTGTGCTTCAATCCTGAAGGCATGTGGTTCAAATCTACCAGATTCTCCGCTGGAGAAGGAGGGGCAGTCTCCCCCTATACTAGTTGGATCTGACTCAATGGTACACACAAGAGAAAAAAAGAAACAAAGATCATCATCACAGGGAAAATAGGCAGCATCATGATATATGGAGAAGAGACTGAAATTGTTAACAGCTTCAGCTTGTTTGGCTCCACAATCATCTTATTTTATAGCTTAAGTATATATACTTGTTCACGGTCTGCTTACATCAGTACAGCCCCAGTCAGCCAGATTGCTGAACTACGGAGCCTTGTAGGTCACTGATGCTGAAAGCGATGCCCCTGTTTCGGATGTCAATAGAGTCATCCAGAGTGAACGGGTTTCTGCAGAACTCCCAGATTAAGACAGATTAAGAAGCAAGATTGGCCATCCACTTCTGAAATAACAGGCCTTTGGAAAACCTATAAGCAATAGAGAAATGCAGGTAGCTATAGTACTAGTGGTAAAGCCCAGATGGGAAGTCACTCAGAAATGAGGAGAGACAATGCATCAGTAAATCACTGTCATTTTGTTCTTACTAATTTTCGTGAAGTTTACAGAGACTTAAGGTTTCCAGTCATTCATTGTTGCACTTTTCTCCCTACCCACCCTCCCCCTCCCAATTCACTCTTCTCCTTGAAAAGAAAAAAAAAAAAAACACTGTTTCATTGTTATGCAATCTCTCCCCCCAAGTCCACTCCACTATACAGCCTTCACTCTGGACTTCTGCAATGACAAGAATACCCATTCAAATATACCCTTTTAAACAGTTCTCTTCCTCATCTGTTTCAATGCAATATACATCATTCCTCCCGTCTTTTTCTGTCTTCCCTCAATCCTGATGTCGATCCCATTTTACAACAGTGGCCCTATGCAACATTTGTCCTTTTGTGACTGAGATATTTCACTCAGCATAATGTCCTCCAGGGTCATCCATCTTGCAAAATATTTCATGAGGTCCTTGTTTTTCATTGCTGCATAGTATTCCATTGTGTGAATATACCAGAGCTTTTCTATCCATTTGTTGATGGGCACTTGGATTGTTTCCAGCTCTTTGCTGTTGTAAACAAAGCTGCAATAAACATGGGTGTGCATTATATCACTGTCATTTTTTAACTACTCAGATAGGTCTTGAGAAAAGAGTGCTCCTTGGAAGCCAGGATAACTAAGCGTCGTCTCATATACTTTGAACTTGTTGTTAGAAGAGGCTATTCCCTAGAAAGGGACGTCATGCTTGGGAATGTAGAGGGTTAGTGAAAGAGAGGAAGACTCTCAATGAGATGGATTGACACAGTGAGTGCAGCAACGGGCTCACGTGTGTCAGAGAGGGTGAGAATGGCACAGGATAGGACAGGGTTCAGATCTGTTCTTCTTAGGGTCACTATGAGTCGAACTTGACTCAACAGCCCTTAAAAACAACAACCAGCTTCATCTCTGGTTTGATAAGAAAGGGAGGCATAACTGATCACATATTTTGCAAAAGAATTGAGTAATCAACTATGAAACTTCTCTGTAACTTTACTAAAAATGGTTTACCAACCACTAAAAGAGTCTTGAGAGAGCTTGGTAGCCTAGTGGTAAAGTGTTATACTGCTAACCCAAAGGTAGATGGTTCAAGTCCACCAGCTTCTCTGTGGGAGAAAGATGGGTAATCTCCTCCCATGTGACTTACAGCCTCTGAAAGCTTGCTAAAGGGTCAGCTGTGAGCTGGTCCCAACTCAATGGCACATAACAGTAACATCAAAAAATCTTGAGATAATCAAACTGTCAAAGGCACAAAGTATGTCCTGGGGGTAATATGAGACCGGAAAGGACAGGACACCTATAGTAAGGCGACCAGAAATCTCAGCCTTCTTTAGGATACACTTGGGGAGAGTGCTGGATGTGGGTCCTAATTTAATAGGTAGGTCTCTTAGTCAGTCAAGCAGAAATAAAGATAATGTAATCACATTATGGAGTGGAGTCTTTGATTATGTTAGTGTATATATGGTACTGTATGTAGCAAAGCATTTACAGATAATGAGAAAAGAACATGTGCGTGTCTAAAATGTATTTCATGTATTTTTAGGACAACTATCACCAAGAAATGTAGAAAAACTGAAACTTCATTTAAACAAGCAACTTAATGTCCCAGTATATAACCCTGAAGGGCTCAACTTAACCATAGAGGTAAGTTTGCAGAGTTTTGGGGTGGGTGTTATTCTTTTTTGTTTTCAGTTTTGAGGTGAGGTCTAAACTAAGGTTATAAATAAGTGCTCAGCTGCTAAACAAGATGTTGCAGGTTCAAACCCACCCATTTACTCTGTTGGAGAAAGACATGGATGAAAGTCTACCATAAAGATCACAGCCACCACTGTACTGGAGTAAATGAAAGAAAGAACTCTCTAAAATAATACAGGATGAGGCATTATAGAGATGACAACAAAATAAGAGATATAACAATTGCAAAGAGGACTGGGAGGGAGGGGGAAGTTAGGTAACTGCAACAATGAATGAATAGTTTAAAACAGTTACTGGGGTACAGGATATGAATAGACCTTTCACCAAAGAAGACATTCAGATGACAAACACACACATGAATAAATGTTCTAAATATCTAGCTATCAGAGAAATGCAAATCAAAACAACTATGAGATCATCTCAACCCAGCGTCAATAGCAAAATTCAACAGGACAGTGAACAGTGAATGCTAGTGAAGTTGTGGAGAGATTGAAACTCTTATTCATTTGTAACAGAAATGTAAAATGATACAGCCACTATGGTACAGAGTGCTGGTGCTTTCTCAAAAAGTTGGAAATAGAAATACCGCTTGATGCAGCAATTCCGCTACTTGAGAATATACGCTAAAGAAACCAAAACTGCCATCCAAACAGATGTATGAGCATCCATGTTTATTGCTGCATTATTTGTTGTTGTTGTTATGTGCCGTCGAGTCATTTGCGACTCATAACGAACCTATGTACAACAGCCCTAAACCATGCTCTATCCTGTGCCAATC